GAGCGTGACACATACCAGCTCCGCACCTGCGCATCCCTATCACTAACCACCACGACCTCCGAGTCGAACGAATATTACCTGTCCTCATATCCAAACTGGAGTTCGTCTGCCTCAACCTACGAATCACAACTTCAGAGAATGATGCAACAGCCGACACCAGCCCCCTCTGAGTATAGATCTTCACCTCCACCATTTCCGGCAGTGAGCCAGACACAACCTGTCGCAGTCGCGGAAGATCACCAAATTGAATACCCTTCGCCGCCTCAAAATATCGGAAGTGCTCCATTCTATGTGTTATCATCGCTCTTTGACAAGCTCCAAATCGAGAGAAAACCTGACAAACGACGGAAATTACTGGACTCCTGGTTTAATGTGCGCACTTGTATTCGAGGGAACCGCTGACTCTATCTTAACGTCCGCTCATAGCACTGGCGCGAAGAGAAGGGATTTGATCTGTATCCTGTACTGCGGCTCATATTACCTCAGGTAAGAGTACGGGGTCTCAATCCACAACGTCACTCTAACTCCTCTGCAGAAAGACCGCGAACGGTCTGTGTATGGACTCAAGGAGAAAAACTTAGCGAAGATTTACATTAAGCTAATCCCCCTCAATCGACAAGACCCAGATTCTATCAGGTTGCTTAACTGGAAGAGACCTTCAGAGAGATTTGTATGATTCGTCTTCCCTACTCTCTCGGGGCTACGCTAAAGCTATTTTTCTAGGCCTCGTCGGGTGATTTCCCGAATGTATTATATGAAGTCATATCCAAACGGTCTTCTGTTATTCAGGGCTCGCTATCAATAGACGAGCTCAATGATACCTTGGACTTACTTTCCGAACATATGGGGAAGTCGTACGTGCTGGTTCATTATGTGTACTTGACTCATTAGCTGAGTTTGTCGCAGGGATATTCAAGCAAAGATTATGCAGAAAGTATACAATAGAACAACCCCTGAAGAGCAGCGTTGGATTGTTCGTATTATTCTGAAAGGTTGGAACCATGAAGTCCAATATCACTTTTGCAGCTAAGACCCTCCACAGATATGATCATATCAGTCAAAGAAACCACTGTATTTTCCGTGTTCCATCCAGACGCACAGGCACTATTTAATACCTGTTCTGATCTGAAGAAGATAGCATGGGAGCTCTGGGATCCTAAGAGACGACTCAATGAACAGGATAAGTCCGTTCAACTGTTCCACGCTTTTGCACCGATGCTCTGCAAGCGCACAATGGGCAATGTCGAAGAATCCGTAAAGGAGATGCAAGGCGGGAAGTTCATTATTGAGGAAAAGCTTGATGGCGAGCGGATGCAGTTGCATAAGCGCGGTAACGAGTACTTTTACTGTTCGAGGTGCGTATCATTAGTCGTAATACTCTGGATCGTGGTGTGACTAAGGCGCATCGCAGGAAAGGCAAGGATTATACTTACCTATACGGAAAGCACGTCGGCTCAGGAAGCTTGACCCCATTCATCGACGATGCATTCGATCTCCGGGTTGACGAGTAAGCAGATATCACGCTGTGTTATTGCAGTACATGACAACAATCCCAGAATCATTCTAGACGGAGAAATGCTTGTCTGGGACCCAGTTTCGGAACGCAATCTCCCCTTCGGTAGGCTGAAGACCGCAGCACTTGGTAAGTGTATTGATCTCCACGGGCGCATACGTGTTCTGACCGTCATACTCGCAGATAAATCAAAGGCAGAGTTCAACCCTCGACCTTGCTGTACGCTTTTCACCCTCATAGATTTTATCATGTTAACTTCTGCACATAGTCAAGGTTTTCGACCTCCTTTATCTCAATGGAATGTCCCTTTCTCGTCGGTCTCTGAAGGTTCGCAAGAAGAATCTGAAGTCGTGTATCTCTCCAATCAAAGGGCGCATTGAGTTGGCGACTGAATTCGAAGGGAAGACAGCACAAGATGTGCGCTCGCGTATGGAGGAGATCATAGCTCAAAAGGGTGAAGGATTGGTGATAAAGCATCCCGACTCCGAGTACGTACTTAACGGGCGGAATAAGGATTGGATTAAAGTAAGACATTTTTTTGAGCTAGTTGTAACGAAATTCATCTCCTTTTTTAAGGTCAAACCGGAGTATATGGTGAGCGGTAACAAACCGTACAAACCATCATTGCTGATCTCGAATACAGGATAGTATGGGCGAGACAGTAGATGTTCTCATCGTTGGTCAGTGTTCATTTGGATATCATCTAATAAACAAGCAGCCTAAATGACAACGTATTTTTTTCAGCCGGCAATTACGGTACAGGTAGGCGGTCTGGTGGTGTTTCTACCCTCATCTGTGCTGTACGCGAAGATAGAAGGCAAGAAGAGACGGATGACGATGATCCAAAGTACGTATTTGAGCGCCATTTTCTTTGTTTGTATCCACCATGAAGTTTTGTAGGTATAGCACCTTTGTCCGCATTGGAACAGGCTTTTCCTATGCAGACTACATCTGGATGCGACAGAAGCCCTGGAAAACGTGGGATCCAAAAAATCCTCCATCGTTCCTTCTAACTTCGAAGAGAGGTCAGGACGATAAGGGAGACATGTATTTGGAGCCTGAAGAGTGAGCCCTTGTATATCTCCAAGATTTTATCGTCTGCTGATTATATTCAGCTCTTTTATCGTCAAAGTCAAGGCTGCCGAGATTAATGCATCGGGTAAGTTATTCATTACCATTGAGATGCACGCATTGAGTTTCGTATATAGATCAGTACCATCTAGGTTATACTATGCGTTTCCCGCGGGCGATCGCTATACGTGATGACCTCGGTATAGCTGATTGTATGACGGCGTCGGCTGTTTTCGAACAAATGCGGAGCATAAGGAAGAGACGAGAGGAAAAGCAAGACGGGTTAGCCATCTCGAGTGCTGTGTACATTCATTATACTGAATATTAGTTTCAGCAAAGCTAAGAAACGGCGTAAGATTGCAGCTGCAGTATGTACTTTCATATGCGCGGGTAAAAACACGTTTGATATCCTTCTTCTAGCCGACAGTTCTGCCGCAGTATCAAAGTCTGTCGATGGAGGCTGTTCAAGTCGAATCCAACCTATTTAACGGTCGCAAATTCAGTTCGTACAACGCTAAGATGGACTTTTTGGTAGCACTCTGACAGTTTGTAGTGGTTGCCTCGGACCCCAAATCTCAGACCGGCGATACAGACAAGGCAGAGTTGCAGAAATTGTCAGTCTTCGTAATTATCGCTTGTTTTGATTTATCTGCTCACGTCAGGTCAGGATTAAGGCTTATGGAGGGAAATGTTTACAAGTAGCAAATCCTAAGAAACCCGAAGGAACTATGGTTGTCTATGATGGCAACTCAACACGTTAGTAATTTTTTCGATTCTTGCTGCTTGCATCTAATCTCTCTTTCTAGCCTACGACATTAAGCTCATTATGCAACGCGGAGTTTTTGACATAGTAAAGCCTACGTGGATCAAGGCATGTGTCGCCAAGGGGGAGATTCTTCCTTTGAGAAAGAAGTAAGAAAAGTTATGTATTCTGTTGACGTCCTGTTCATCAGTCACGCTCAGGTACTTCTTCCATGCTACGGAAAGTAGTCAGACCGAACCGGACTACGACGCGGATATTGATGACGATGATAAGGAAGGTTCGGAAACGGAGCAGTCCGAAACAGAGGACAAGGATGTGGATTTACCCACTCCTGCACCGGCAGCCACTAGAGTGTCCAAGGAACCCGACACGAGTCAAATCGACCCATCTTTGGCTGATTGGTTCCAAATTGATAAGAAAGATGCTGAACCCGCCCAAGCTGTTCCAGATGATGATAGCGAAACGGAACCGGAGTCAGACAACATGGACACGCAGGATATTGAGGCAGATCCTGTAGATGCCGGTGACGATGATTGGTACCAGTTCCAAACTGCAGAGGTAAGTTTCAAGTTTCAGCCATGACTTTTGTTCTTATGTCATCCTATACAGGATGGCACTAGGAGCCAGTCTCGGCTAGAGAGTCAAACTCAACCAGAGACTCAAGAAGCTGTGACCATGGGGGAGAGTGATACCGCGATGGAATATGATCAAGACCTCATATTCAGGCATCTGTACGTACTTTATATATTCCGTAATATGTGACCCAGCTCACCTGCCCAACAGGTGTTTCTACCTTGATACACCTGCAAATGCCAGGAAAAACGGGATGTCAGTGAATAACAAGGATGAGGATGCGATCGAGAAAAGGTGAGCTTATAACATTTTATTTCTGTCAAGTTAACTCACTCCGGCTCTAGCTTCAAAGAAATCGCAGAAACTCTCACAACCCGGGGCGGAAAACTAGTAGATCTCGACGACCCAAAGTTGACCCATATTGTCTTTGACGATCGTGACACTACACGTCGCATTGAACTTTCGAAGCGTACCTCTACGTGAGTTTGAACACATTGGTGATGTGGATATTGAAAGACTTATTCCATTTTCAGGCCAAAACGTCGACAGCTCGTGTTAGGCGACTTTGTTCGAGCGTGTGTAGAGGAAGATACTTTGCTTGACGAAGATGGTGAGTTTGTGGGTTATACCACGCGTGGTGCTGTCGCTCATCAGTTCCATGTTCTAGGGTTTGCACCATGAAAATTTGACTGGTTTGTGTGCATTTATATTAAGGAGGTGTAATGCTCTTTGACTGACGTTGCGGCGTACTCTACAGTCACGGTGGATGGATTGCTGCAATATTTAGGTACTGTATCAACCCGTGTGTACTTTTTTCATTCGTCCTCCATCAGGTTAGTTCTCTCTTAATACTTTCCTGTGAGGTCCCAACTTTAGTAAAAATGTAATGTTTTACCCCACGCCCACCTTCAGAGGTTGTCAGCGAAAGAAAGACGACATGAGTAGTTACTGTAACCCCTAGAGTACAATTGTAGGCAGCCGAATCCCTTTGATCCAATGAGTGACTAGTAATGAGGTAAGTATTCTTTCATTCCATTCGGAACACCTGTTTATAACTTACTATAATAAATTATATTATGTGGCCGCCTAGCTCAGTCGGTTAGAGCGTGGTGCTAATACTGGGACTGTACTACAGACCGGGAAAACGCCAAGGTCGTCAGTTCGACCCTGGCGGTGGCCAATATTTTCTCCCTAATTTTCTGAGCCGTTACCTACGTTTAAAGCACTACTGTAGTTGCTTGCGGGCGGTCCCATTTACATTTTCTCTGTATTGTCAAAGAACGCATACTTGCTCGAATGTGTGAAAGTGTCGCCGGATCAGACGACCGTGGATCATTTTCTACCATGCTCAGCTTTTCGCACGCGATGATCTCAAACTTGAACGTGAACGTTGAACTCTCTAGTAGGACAACGTGCATACCCAGCGATGAGGATCTTCTACATACTTGGCTCGTAAGCTGGCTGTCATCTAATATTTTTAGAGACAATGGTAGGCTATCATATTATATACCTCCGAGTCACGTTCACGCATCTCACTGTGTCCTCACGATACCATTTCAACAGTAGACTCTCGCACATGACTGCAATCACCAGGCACACCGCAGTGACAACCGCTTGCCCGTAGTGCAAAAATTCCCAGGACAACCTGGCCGATAGGCACACACACACGCCGTAAGTAATTGCAGGCAACGGTGTTAGCTAAAGGCCTCCCAGTCGCCTCTATCGCCGGAGCTCTCAAGAACTTCAAGTTGTAAGCACTTTGAATGATTCAAAGATCCGTGAAGTTAGCTCGATACTTAAAAAGTCAATGTCAGGATTGCTGTTTAGGACCCATGCATGGAGCAATCGCAAGCTCACATGTGATGAGCAGCGTCCAGTTGATGCCATGGCCGACGCCGTGCTCGGAGAGTGTTTGCGCCTGACCAAATGGTCTGCAGCTTACGGGGTTGGTAGCCCGGTGACGGTGGTTTTGCTGTCAAAGCAGCTCGCGTCTAGCAGAATATTGGCATATATAGCCTTCGTGTTCAAGTCCCATTCTTGTGCCAGTCTCCCGTCTACTGCGATGATGCTCCCATTTGCGAGACGGGCAGTGGTTACTGCCATGTTATGTCTTCAAGCTGTGGCTGCAGTATCTATCAGTCACCCTCAGGTTCGACTAGATCAAGCGACGTTCGCGGGAGTTCACAATGGCACCGTCGACGTATTTCTTGGTATCCCATTCGCAGAGCCACCGTAAGTTCATGTATCGTCTTAGTGCCCGTAGACGTCGACCATTTACTGTTTTGGCATCGTTCCAGAACAGGTGACCTGCGTTTTAGGTTGCCAGTGGCTAACAAGCCGTACGTTGGCAGCCATGACGCGACCAACTTTGGCCCAGCGTGCCTCCAACTGCCGATAGTGTATACTATTCCTGACGATTTTGCTCCCGAGGCAAAGGCGGTGCTGGAAGAGCAATCTTCGGCGGGGGATCTTGCAAATACCAGCGAGGACTGTGAGGACATGCAGCGATTTTTATTGAGGTGCCAACACCAACACACGCATCTTGTGTAGGTTTAACCATCAATGTCTGGAAACCATCAAATGTTCCAAATCATGAAAAACTGCCTGTGGTGATTGTGCGTAGCCCCTTCTCTTTCCGCGTCACACAAAGCCTGTTCTATCGTTCACTAATTCCGTGCTGCAGTGGATGTATGGAGGTGACCTGCTTGTACAAATATTGCTGTGCCCACTCAGCTAACATACTTTGTGTCATTTCAGGCGGATTTCAAGAACGGGGTTCTATCAGGTGCGTTCTGCCTCGTGTAATACTATCCCACTCTTACCAACGACATGCAGTTACGATGGGTCTGTCATCGTTCGACGATCCATTGAAATGGGCAAGCCGATCCTCTACGTGAGTATGAACTACAGGTAAAGGCATATCCTTTCGTCCAGTGTATATAACCTAATAGCTTTTATGTCATAGACTAGCTAGTGAGTCAACGAGGTAAAAGCTGGTTGATCGCCTCTCATCGCGGGCATGCCCATATTCAGTGTTCGGATTCCTGGCAAGTGCAGAAGTGAAGGCTGCTGGTGTAGGCAATCTTGGACTGCAAGACCGTGAGCTTCGTTCTTCTTTTTCAAACGACACAGACGGAGCTGATACGACATAGAACGTCAAGCTTTTCGTTGGGTGCAGAAATATATTGCCGCATTCAATGGAGATCCTTCCAAAGTTACAATGTAAGTGGCTCTGTATCCTCGTCACGGTTGTATTGCCACCCTCAAATCTATAGTTGGGGCGAATCCGCCGGTGCCATATCTGCGTCTCTACATTTGCTCGCAAATGGCGGAAATCACGAAGGATTGTTCCGTGGGGCGTTCATAGAATCAGGACCTCCGATCCCAACTGGCGACATAACCCATGGGCAGGGTTATTACAACGAATTGGTGGCTACAGTCGGTTGCCAGACCGCCCATGATTCGTTGCAGTGCCTGCGCGAAGTACCGATCGATGATCTCGTGGCTGCCCAACAAGTACGATTTGATTTGCTCTTGTTTTCTTGTCACTGACGAACATCTGTGGTTTATAGAAACTGGATACCCCTAATTTGTTCGTTCCTAGAGCGGACGGCTCCTTCATTGTAAAGCCACCATTGGAGATGGTTTTGGAGGGTACGGTGGCCGATGTCCCCATTGTGATAGGAGTTAGTACTCGTCTTACAAAGCTTCGTTCATTATTGACTTATAGTTACGTTTTAGCAATGCGATGACGAGGGCACGCTGTTCGCGGTGGGGCTCATGAGTATCACGTAAGCTTGAGTTTATCTCATAAAAACGTTCGTATCTTCTTACGCTCTAGTACGTGACCTTCTAGCACTGACGAACAAGTCCAGGCGATACTGGCTGCTGTTTTCCCGAATGCCACCGCCAGTGAATTGGACCGACTTATGGAGTTGTACCCTCAAGACGTCACGCAAGGTTCACCCTTCGACACCGGTTACGATAACGCATTGACGCCACAGTACAAACGACTTGCCGCTATTCAAGGAGACCTTGTCCTGATCGCGCCAAGACGGTTCTTTTTACAACAACGTTCCGACAAACAGCCTACATGGTCTTATAGTAAGCGCATGGTTTCATGTTAACTTCAAACCTAAACTGAGCAGCCTTTGAAGCGTCGAAAAGAATGAAGACGCTTCCGGACCTCGGATCGGTAAGTGCTCTTGTTTTCATTCCAATGCTTGCCTTCATAATTCTGCATAATAGTACCATGACCATGACTTGGCCAATATCTACGGCCCAGGCGACATGACAGACTACCTCGTCAATTTTGTCAATCATCTTGATCCGAACGGCAAGAATCTGACTTCATGGCCGCAATACTCTACATCTAATCCGACACTGTTGACATTCCTTGACGGTCCCATCCCTCGAGGGCAAGAGCAGGATAACTTTCGGGAGGAGGCTATGGATTATTTGAATAACCTCTTGTTGAAGTATCCTCAGTGATCATCAAGTTCATCAAGTTATATGTGTTGTCCGGGTATCGTCTCGCCTACGAACGTACTCGGTAGCGTACTGGTATAAGAATGGGAGGTACTAGGTTTCCTTGGATGCAATTTATTACTACTCCGTGTATTACACCGACCAAGTCAGCTTGTTTTAGAGTAATCTTGAGCACATGGATACCACTTACAGAGAAATGGGAGAGTTCATAGAGAAAGGGGTTTTGCGCGTTGATCAGGAGTTCTACTACAGCGAACTGTACTTTTGAGATACACACCTAGACATACATTTGAGGTATAGCTCATTACTCGTCCTGAGAAGCACTATGAGATTGGAAGATACTACTAGCTTTATTTGATAGCAGACTGTCATACAAATATGACTGTCCAATAGAATACAAATGGGAGGGACATACTCGAGTAGATATGTGAGAGCGGACGACAACAATACAACTAGCTGAAGCAACAACGAGGGAGTCGAAGAACACAAAGCGACGAAGACATGAGAACCACAGACAACACATCCGAAATAGATCATCAAGGTCATGGATTGTCGTTGCGAGGAATGACGAGAAACAGCGTATGTTGTACTGTCCTAGTTATGTTCGGGGTATGAAGAAGATGTAAATGTGAGTGAGGACGACAGTAAGAGGGAGAAAATTGACAAGAAACCAAGAATGAAGATGAGGATAGTAATAATCTAAGATCGCTACCAGTATCGCGAAGGGCTTCCCAATCCAGGACTGTCGTAGAAAGTATGTCGCATGCCAAAAAACCCAGTGGGGCTCTCCTCGTATTGAGCTTGTTCACCCAGCCGTCTCAGCTCTTCGTCAAGAATATGACCAGGATCGTGTGGATCAAAAGCTTGCGATGATGTTCGGAATGGAGATTCTTGATTGTGGAAGACCAATCGTTTCGGCGTGACGGGCGCGAAAGGTGAGAATTCTGCGAGCTTAAGAGAACCTGAGCTCCCGGATTGGGCTGTACGCTTTCTCGAAGGGGTGCATAACAACCCCGAACTTGGATTGGCCAGCGCAGAATCTTCGCCAGTAGTCAACGCAGTGAGAAGAGGAGCCTGAGGATGAAAGACAGCTGCAGGAGGAGGATCTAAATGCGATTTATAGTAAGCAAGGCTGGGAGAAGGACTCATATGAAGCCCACGATGCGAGATCGGCGTTTCCATAGCAGATAGGTGCAGTGTCTTGCTCGCCGAAGAAACACGCTTACGGGGTGGCGTACATGGTCTAAGGGGAGGTGTTGAAGGACGACGAGGTGGGAACGGAAGATTAAATATGTGCTCAGGGCTGGGCGAGCGCATACGTGCTTTACCCTTCGCAGACTTTCGGTTATCCGTTGGAGATTCCGGGTATAAAAGCGAAGAAGTCTAAATGCATTGTCATTACAAAGCAAACTCCTAATATTGTCATTGTTCGCACCTTTATGAGATGAGTACTGCTGTTAGGGGGAGTCCGTTTGGCTTGAGATGTCGAGGGAAGGGGCACCAACCGATCCAGTGTCGAGGGTGATGCAAGCCACTGTGCCGTAAGCCTATCAACTTCGTCCTCCGGATCGAATATGTCAGGTTCTATGGTGCCATCGGCGACACTGTCGATGCTAGAAAGACTGGCCTCCGAAGACAGAGGCGGGCTTGACGATGAAGTAAGGTCTGGTATTGTTGATGAAGATGAAGATG